CTCACTTCACTTTTACCTCACTTTTACTTCACTTCTCTCTTTTGTTCTCCACCCCGGAGCGAACACCCAACGATTTTAGTCAGTGTTTTAAATAAAACACTTGCAAACCCCATAATCGTTGTGACAGTGTGTTTGTTCTTCTAATTCTTTTTGGCCACGCACAATTCAGCAGAGAACTGCAACCACGACTCATAGGGGCCTTGCATGCACCCTATTGAAACAATCAAGCGTTACACTATCCCGGAAGGAACCGTCGCCGGCAAGAGAAATTTCTCCTGTCTGCAGCCGTTAGACGAAATAGAAGACAAACTCGCATGAAGTGTGAACAGTATCATGTATGCTATTGCATACTTTCAGAAGTTCTGCAGTCAATGAGAACCACCTCTCCTGTTGCCTGTGAATTTGGTATCTCCCAATTCAGTGTTGGTTTGATGCCCACACAAACCAACCGGAGCGAGAGCTGCATGACCCTTAGAATTGGCTTGTTACTACCTGCAAATCAGTTGACCTCCTCTAACGTGTATTACGTTGGTTTATTCATAATATTAATCCAATTTTCAGGACACATCTATGTGACAAAATAACCGTTCACTTGAGGGAGATAAACACTCGAACTGATTAGTTACTGTCGGTAAAGCAATAAGTCGTCAGTTAAAGAGTGAACAGAATAAACTCTACCGTCCTTTAATAACGATCGTGATTCGTGGTAAAAGTGAAGCCTCACGTTTGCAACTCACGACGCTACGGGGTGATGGCTCCCTTGCGTCTTGCCGTCGCGTTGTACCGTCACCTACTTGCCATTATGTTTGTAGGCCTTCTCACACGACGCGTCGTGCGTCGTGTCGTGATCGAGTCTAGTTGCATCGCTTTGGAAGACGCTATAAGTATAGAGAGGCAGAAATGTGTGTCGCAAATAGTACACCATACCCCCCCCCCAAAAAAAAACCACTCTTGTCAACAGCATCTTACTTGCAGAATAGTCCTGGAGAACTTTATGCATACAAGTTTGTTGATATTGTAGCGAACGCCGCAGATTAGCCCCGCCTTATATTACTCGCCCCGCCGGAGCCTCTATTCAATGTGGACTCTTGGAGACTGTGGCTCCGGAAATGAGCTATTTTAGGAAATTCGGCCAGCAGACTTGTATTGCAATGTGTAACAATGGATCAGGATCTGTAAGAGGATGATTGGCGGCTGGCCAGAATAGTATAACATTGTACAACATTTATGAGCGCGCGCAGGAAATGTTGCGGTTGACTGGTAATCCGGTTCGTTTTGGGGGGCTGGCTGGGTAGGCAGTCAAGTTGGGTCTGAAGTTGTTCTTTAGAAAGTGTTGCAAGGTGATTCCAGTGAGTGTTGTCCGAAACAAAAGAAAGATAGCAAAGTTTCACTGTACGGCAAATCCCGTTTGTCTTGCGTTTGGCGGCAAGCGGGGTAAGCGAACCCAGGAAAGACCACGCTACAATATCTTAGTATATTTAACCGCCAAGGCTATGTAGCAGTAACTAGGGTAATTATTAAGACGTTCATCCAGCACCATCAATGTAGTCAATCATCCCACGTCCTTCTTCACTTGTCACAACAATGCATATGCCTATCTGACGTGACCCTGGACAGTGGTGTGATCATTCACGTATGGTGGAAATGAGTATGGCTGTACGTATGGTGTTCAGGCAACGTTGGTCAGGGTTGGCCAGAATACTGATCTGCTAGCTGGGACATGCCTCCCTTACGCACTGGTACTAGTGGTAGAAGTGGTAAGTGCCTATAGCTCAGGTAGTAAGTGCCTATAGTCCGTAGAGACTACGGACGAGGGTGCGGAATATTCTTATATAAGAAAGTCGCCCATATCCAAGAAAGTGTATATGCCTCCATTCCCTTTTGTGTTGGTTTGGTCAGATTGCCACAACGCTAGGGTCATAACGGCACATATTGTACAGAAGGTTCTGTGGATGGACCGTGTATATTAGCAATGCTTGTGTCCAACCATGGTCCACCATGTATTGACCAGTCCATCGTATCATTATGGTGGTGTATTATTTATGAAAGTGTGTTTAGGACATTGGGAGAAATAAAATAATTCGCACGTACAGATTGCTATTTCGTACTCGTATATAATACGGATTACTTGTTGGTACAGACAGTTTACTATTTCGTTCGTAAAAATTACTAAACCGTACATACAGATTGACTAAGCGTGACCGTTAGTTGTATGCTGCAATATATGACTTCACTTGGGCCCCGAGCGGAACTACGATCGGGCTCGATTTTCCTATGCAACGGAGACTCCTTATGTAAGGAACCCCACTTCGCTTGTTCACGAACGACTATACGAGATGCATGTGTTGCTTACAGAAGCGTTTTGCTAGAAACGCGAAAAAAAATTATCTCGTTCAAATTATGACATAGCTATCTCGTTTAACATGTGTAAACGACTACCTTGTTGAAACGACTTATTATCTCGTTCAAACGACATACATGTAGGTATCTCGTTTAAACGAGATAAGTCGTTTAGTCAATCAACGATGTGTCGGGTCTCTCTGATGTTTGTGGACATGTCTGGGCTTTTTCATCGGAGGTGGTTGGGGTGATTGTGGCTTGGCCGTTGTGGACATATGAAGCGAGATATGGGACGGAGAGCACCCCTTTGTGTTGGTCAATGTTAATTTGATCAGAATCTCAGGAATTCTTTTCACACATCTAGGGGGAATGTGTCAGGTAACAAAACTCTATAGGGTGTGTATAGGGGTTGGACATATGAGGCTGGGTACCCCTCCTCCCATATCTTGCTGGGTATAGTTGTACGTGGGACTGCGCCTTGCCATTGTGCGGACCCCCCCCCAATTCAGAAGAATTTAGAAAACTGACCTTAGCCTGACTTTTTCTGCAGTTTTTAAGAGTTGCAGGGGCTAGAAGACACCCACTAATCAATTTAAATGGCATTAGAAGAGACTGTAGGGTCAACACCACAATAATCATGACCGACGTCCAGAAGAGACGTCGGTGACGTAATTGTGTTCAGAACAACCCCCACGCGCCGCAGGGTTGTAATCCGTATGGAAGAAATAGTAATCATACGAATTATTACTTTTCCTTCCATGCATGTCCTAAGTACGCTTCCATATGTTATGGAAAATTCAGGAAAACACCATAATTTGACTGCTGTGTGATGTCGAGCCGGAAGTGCTGTGGAGAAGCATGAGCGTCTCAGTCAGTGCCTCTTGGTGCAAGCTTGCCCTGGTGGGAATAGTATTAGAAGTCAATTAGGCACAAACACACGCATTCACTCTTTAATACGAATGAAATTCAGTACATCGATATGTGACCAATTGTAAAGAGAAGCTGTAAAAAAAATCTGTTTAATGTAAAGTGGAGGACATATTACGACAAAGAGGAAAGTTTAACTGTGGATATGAATATTCAGCAGGCAACTTTTGATAAAATGGCCCAGCTCACAGGTCTGAACCAAAAGCTATGCCTCCTGAGAATAAGGAATGCCCATTAGGACAACAAGGAAATTTCAAAATTAAAGATTTCGAGTTCAGTTTTGCATTTTGCATTTGCAGAATCTGAGAAGGTTTGAATCGCCCTTTCTGTTGAGTTTCTCACGATGGCTTCACCGGCAATGAAACCCATCAATTACGACAATGACAGCTGGGGCTGGATCATGGTGGGAGCGGTATTTGTGAACTGTTTTGTGATCATGGGCCAGCTCAAGGCCCTGGGTGTCCTCCTCATTCCGATGACCGACGACTTCAACAGCGACTTGTGGCTTATTGGCTTGGTTGCAGTTTTATACAACGTGATCCAGCACTGTTTCGGTAAGGACGTTCTCAAACTCGCTGTAGAAGAAAAAGTGCACTATACTGTAGTTAATATATGGTTGGCGCGGTCCTCAACTAATGTTTGACTAATGTTTAAGACAGTCTCAGGGAAACAGACAGCGATAATGCCCTCACCTGCGGCTCATACATTACTCGCATCCGTTTCTCTTGAGCTGGTCTTCAACAAACGTTTAAGTTTGACAAGTACATATACAGGGTGTCCACATAAAAAAGTTTACCGGGATAAAAATTAGTGTCATAGCAAAACTACTTTATTTACGGGAAAGAAAGAAGGGCAGAATTCCCTCTTTGCAATGGTAGACAGCTTGTGATGTTATTGACACAGATGAGTGAACAAACTAGACCGATGTTAAGGGTACTGAAATCGGCACTGTGACAAGTTTGCATATTTGATTAACAAGGCTAGACCAGGCAAGTGTGCAGAATTTACACTTTATACAACATCTGGGGATTCAAAGCTTAAAATCAAATCATAAAGCTCATTTGATTTTCAAGTACTTTGCGAGAAAAAAAGTTAAATAAAAGAAATCACAAAATAGTTACGCTTTTGTCTTGGGCTGTCTTATTCACTTCAATATTTTTGCCTGTTATCACTTCACAGTACCATATTCCGGTAGTTTCCAATTTCAAAGTTTTCTAAACAGTTCTTGGTCGCTCTAGGACTGTTTAAAAAAATCACTGTACATGTCACGAACTGCTTCAAATATTACTTAACAAACCGTTTCAAATACAAATACAGGATTTTATCTGCCCAGACTACACACACTCAACTAGTTGTAATTAAGACGGGTTATACGCGTTGACTGGAGACTCGGTACTGTATCACGCTGTGCATCAGAGCTTCAGGATAGGCTGCGTCTGTTTACCTGTTTCCCAATCTCACTACGCTTCATTTGCCAAAGGCACTGTTCCTAAGGCAGTAGTATCTCAATCGTCTCAGTGTAAGCTAAAACCAGTGGCCACCTAAAATTAAAACATGATCCAACCCTTCGAAGTCTTTGGCCAAATTGTTAAATTCCAAACTCAATGCTTTTTGCCAAGAGGCTGATGAGGTCCTGACTTTTTACGTAACTTGCGCAATATATGGCTCGTCTTCATTCATGCCTTCCACATAGAAGTATGACTAAGTTTAGTTTATAAAATCACGAATTTTCCCTCTGTTCCCTACTCTACTGTCTAGTTTTGCAACCAATGTAAACATAGCAACCCAGTGACGGGACTGAATAAACTTAAAAGAACACACTTACGGGTGCACTGAGGGCTGCTGCGATCGGAACAGACAGTGACGTGTCGCCGACGAATTTGACCGTGAAATTTGGTCAAAAGGGTGGAAATTGGGACCGATCGCCAGTACCAACTAACGAAGGAGTTAAACCTTCAGAGGCTAAGCTTTCTGAAGTCATGTAGTGGCCAAGCATACCCCTTAATCAGTCATCATATTTCACGTCTCCACTCCAGGCAACAAAATTTTGTTCTACTCTCATCCTAGAACAGAGTCTCACTTTTCACTTGGTCTCTCCTGTTGACTTGAATGACCATTCCTTTTCACGGTTTGGAGGTTCTCGAACCACACCCATGGCTGATGAGTATACAGTACTCGGTGACTCAACGCTGCGAAAGTATCATAACAGAACAACGCGCGTCCGACAGCGAAGCCATGATTGGTTGTAGCCGATCTCGGAGAGAACTTCGCGCACAGATGACTTGCTGACATGGATTACCGGTATCAATTTTACCCTTTAGAGAGGGTTACAGTTTTCTTAAGAGATGTCGCACAGCTAGAGTAACCAATGCTATGTTAAAGTGTAGCTGCAATGAGTTTTTATTGTATGCAATTATTCTGCATCTTTGTACTCATCTTCGTTGTATGAAAACTCTTTTATACTCCTATTTAGATAAATGCACTGGAAAGTGCATGTTTTAAAGAATTAAAATCATCTATGGAACGAAGGGCGCTGTTGCTGTGACATCATCTAGGTTCAGGGCATAGTGTTTCTGTTAAAATTGTGAACCCAGACTTCACAGACTGAAAATATTTCTGAAGGGGAATTGATATTTTCTTGTTGCTATGCACATGACCAACAATGAATTAGCAAAGAAAAGAAAACTGAGTCCATGAAAATCTACAAAAGTGCAGGACTTTTTGTGTACAAACCTAAGTAACATTGAGGCTTCTTCTTGAGATGACCTCACAGTTTTGCTGATGAATATGGATATACTCATTAGCATAAAAGCCAAAAAGGCGTTAAAATACCCTTTGGAATAATGAAACAGAAGTTGAAAATAAGGTTAAATGAGGCAGAAAGGTGCATTTTAGAGGTTTGTAATCACGAAACCTATTGCAGCTACCGTTAACTTATCGGGACTCTTGTGACACACAACAAGACGGTTGACGCTTAATAAGCGTTCAGCTGACCTTCCAGCATGGGAGTGGCTATCGTACTACACACAGAGTCGAACTTCAATAAATGTTTGCGTGAAATAGCATTGTTCCTGATATTTGAATTCCACACGGCGGAAGCGCAAAAGCATTTCTTTGACATATAGGACCAACATATAGCTATCCACATCAACATAAAGGATTTTAAGAAATGGTAAACAGTGTGTGTACGTATTTGACGCTTTTGTTTCTCTTTACGCAGCACCTGTTGTCGGCGCCCTCTCCCGTCTAGTCGGAAGCCGTCCCATGATGGTGCTGGGCGGACTCATGAACACCTTGGGCATAATTTTAGCATCGGTGTCTTCTACAGTTTCTCTGTTCACAGTTTTCGTTATTGGACTATCAGGTAAGAAACCTTTGTGGCAGTGCATAGTTCGATCATCTGCCTCCAAACGTGTTCGGTTGGACCACATGTCTTATGGTTTATGCCTTTGTGGGAAAAAAATAAGTAGGGCACAGAGCAGTAAGTCGGAGATTATACATTTTGATGTACAGTAAGAGAACATGCACGAGATGTCTACAGGTTTGATACGTTGCCCTTATGCATTACGTCGCAATTTTAATGTACAGAATACAACTGATGAGTTTTGAAACTCGTCAGGCGCTTGAGCTCGAAAGTTGTTGTGATTTTCCTTGATTTGAGACAAATTGTTCGCCCAAATAACATGTCGTTTCCCCTCAAGGCGTACGGAAAAACTACTAGAGCAGATCCATCTGCTGTTTGCTAGATGCAGTTACAGGACATTTGTTACTTGGGATTTCCATGCGGTGTCTGTATGGCTAATTAATGCCTCCTGCAAGGAGTTTTTACAGAGTGAAAATGAAGAAGAAAAAATGACGAATTTCACGAAGCAAAGTGAAATTTAGGAACTCGCTTGTATGTTCATTCGTCAACAGGGTAGTTTATCAGCCTTCAATGAAGAGTTTTACGAAACATTATCCACTGACCATGCTATTTTGCCACAGGGCGAAACTTGACACAAAACTACCCCAAGACAACATAATCCAGCCCTTACACAACTTGCTGATTAACATCGGCACTTGGGCCTCCCAGGAATATTGCCAAGCCAGTGATCCAAAATAACGCTGATGTTGAATAGTGTCAAAATGGGGCAGGGGGCTTGATACAGATTATTACGCATTTGAATTTCTTTTGGCAGGTATCGGGACTGCGTTCACTTGGTACGTCGGGTTTGCTGTCATGGCCTCTTACTTCAAAGACAAATATCCGTTGGCTATTGGAATAGCAACGATGGGTATTCCTTTGGGTGTAATGGCTTACGGGCCAATGACACAGGTTCTTCTTGACACCTACGGCTGGAGAGGAGCAATGCTGATATGGGGAGGTATATCGTTCCATGCGGTTCCGTGTAGTGTGTTGGTGCGAAGGGATCCTTCGTCCATTGCTGCAGACACCGATCGGTATCAAGAGGTTTCAGTCGGCGATGAGGAGAGAAACAACCAGGAAGAAGGGGAAGCTCATGTCAGCGACACCTCTGATTGTGCACGTGGCTTCCCCGGTCATTGCGAAATGGCGCCATCGAAGTGTTGCCTGGACTTCATAGCTGCATTTGATTTCAAACTGTTGGCAGATGTGAGGTTTGTTTTACTTGTTATTGGACACTGCACAGCAGCATTTTCCTACAGCGCTTGGGTGGTGTATATGGTGTCGCATGGTCAATTTCAGGGCTTGAACGAAGTTCAGGCATCGCTTCTACCTACTGCTTTCGGGGTTGGCAACGTCATTGGAAAGAGCGTGGCACCCCTATTGCAACAGATGGGTCTGAAATTATCCTTGATAGGTTTGGCGTGTGTCGGGTCAACCATTGTGTCCACATCGTTCGTGGCAGGCGCCTTCATTAGACATTTCATCGGACAGTTAGCTATTACGGGGCTAGTAGGTGTTGGTTATGCTATGCTGTACCAAGCTGTTGACGTCATGATTCGGTTCCTTTCGACGGATGACCGATTGCTAAATATTCTGGCCTGGCAAGGAATCTTTACTGGCGTAGCTGGAGCACTTGGAGGATTACTATCAGGTTAGAAGGATTTCAGTTTCCCTTAGAAAGCCCCATAAAGCTTTGATTAGGCTTGGTCTTATATAAAAACTAATGCAGGAACAACATGGTCTCGCGTCAAACAAGGTTATTCAGTGTTCAACACGAGGTATGTGAGTGCATGAATTTCATTTTTGTTTCAGACTGCATAAAGTGCGTCTATTTAACCCATTAACGTGTTACCACATTATTTCTGAAGAGAAAATATACTTTCTTGTTTTTCGTGAAAGGGTGGATTTACGAATGGACGGGGAGTTTCACCGTATCCTTCTTCGTGTATAGTGGATTGGTGTTGCTGTCGATTCCTATCTTCATCACAGAAGCCATATACGCTAAACGAAGTACTCGTTGAGAAGCAAGGTTTTACTATAAAGCTGAAGCTAATGCTCTACTTTGACGAATCGCTGTTTGCAACCCAGTTACTTTCCTATTGATAGGAGCCATGGTTGAAAGCCAGCTACGATGTTACATTTATCCTCTCGGCAGTGGAAATTTAGCCGTCACCTGCAAACTGGTATTTGGCTGGCTACAAGTAGACAGCGCCTTGATGCATATACACGCCTATGGTTGTTAAAATCATTCCCACTGAATTCCAAGTAGATTCAGTGCAGGTAGATAGCGCGCACGTCTTGAGATCAAATGGTACGTTCCCAGCTTGGTTCGATAAACAGCTGTTGCCCCTTTCTGCTCCTCTTTTGTAATATTTAAATTGACTGCAACATTTAATTACAGAGTATTACATTTTCTGATTCTTGGCTCTGGAAAAATCTTTTTAATGGAGAAAGTACGAATTGTACTGTGATACTCACCTAGTGAATACGAAGTTACAACGACTATGTTAGCGCAAAACCCGACTAGGTTTGTCAGGTAGTTTCACTACGGAAGCCCGTTAGGGCCACGGTGCGTTTCTCTTTCACGACGGTGCGTTTCTCTTTCGTTGTTGGCAGTAACTCGCGGCCGCGCCTTACTTAACTCGCGGCCGCGACTTACTTCACTCGCGACCACCACTTACTTAACTGGCGGCCGCGACTTACTTCACTCGCGGCCGCGACTTACTTCACTCGCGGCCGCGACTTACTTAACTCGCGGCCGCGACTTACTCCACTCGCGACCGCCACTTACTTAACTGGCGGCCGCGACTTACTTAACTCGCGGCCGCCACTTATTAACTCGCGGCCGCGACTTACTTTACTCGTGGCCGCGGCCTACTTAACTCGTGGCCGCCACTTATTAACTCGCAGCCGTGACTTACTTAACTCGCGTGGTATGTTGTACTGGTTTGTACCGTGGAAAGCAAATACAGTAGCTTCCTAGATTCACTCCGAAAATGAACCGATATTTTTAAGATGTGCACAAGCTGTTGGTCCCGGCAAAGTTCTATTAGTAAATGCATAGAGTTAAATACATTAATAAATGACCAGCAAACATTATTTGACCTTTAATCTAGCGCCGTGCTCTCAGCTTGCAGACACTTGGAAAATTAATCCGATTACAACATCACGGTAACACGGCGCATAAATAAGTGGCGGCCGCGAGTTAAGTAAGTCGCGGCCGCGAGGTACTGGCAACTACGAAAGAGAAACGCACCGCGGTGAAAGAGAAAAACACGTGGCCCTAACGGGCCTCCGTATTTCAGAGGTAGTGTAAGTTGCCATATGTAATGATTGAATATTGATATGAATTTAAGCTTATAGCGTTTCAATAATGCCAGAATATAATTCACAAGAGTTCAGTGGGCATAAAGTGTGAGATCAGTACTTTTAACAGTCTTTAGGCCAGGGGGGCCAAACTGCTTCAAGATTTCAAGAATACTGTATTTGTAGTTGGCCAGGCCATACCTTTAGATGTTTCAAAGCGGATGGTCAAAGGAGAGACTAACCAAATAACGCGAGTGATCAATACCCCCGTTGCGTCTTTCTCTTTCGTTATAACATTTTTTTTTTACTTGTATGATCTCATTCATGTGAATACTATGGAGACGATTCTGTTAACGTTGGTCATTGTTCACCATGTGTGTTAGATTATACCGATCAGTTGGTGGAGTGGCTCCCTGTATTCGGTTATTATGAACAGCAAGGGCCTGAAGCATAACCGATGGCCAAACTACTTATGCGCCTCAAACGTATGTTTCGAACAAATTAAACCTGCATATATGTAAAAACCATTCTGTGCGATGAAGCTTTGTTTACTATACTAACTTTGACATCAGAGGAAGGACGTTTTCTTAAGCATAATTGCGATTGGATTAAAAGATTTCTCACGTTGTCCAGTGGCCAAATCCAGCCAATCATTGTCGGGAAGTTCATCAATAAAACATGGCTCCAGCCAGTGACACACGTTGCTCTGTATACACATCTTGGGCACAGTGTAGTGTCGTTTGCATCATCTTGAACCGTTTGCCGTGTATAGTTAACAACGTTTTCAACTGTTTTGAACAGTTAAAATGCTTGGGGGCTTAGGGGTCGATCTTAAGCAAATGAGGCTTCTTCAGCGGAAACAAGTCTCGCTTGCATGAGTATGACTTTGCATGCATAGAATACAAAGGTAAGAGCCAACACTTGCTGTACCAGCCACCACGTCCAGTGCTGCATAGATTTTACAAGCAAAATTTACCCGCACGATCTACGAATTGTACGCGGAGGGGGCAAGCATAGTACGTGGCACCGGCAAAACATCGGGTAAACCCGGACCCAGGCGAGGAGCAAAGTTGAGTCAGTCGAATCAAGTATTTGGCTCGGGACAATTTGAATCCCCAATCTTTGTACACAATACGATGAATAAATGTGATAGCACCACAGTTTACTCTTGATGATAATAACACATGACATGGACATCACGAACCTGAACTGTATGCCATTGCAAATATTTTTTTGCAAAGAAAATTTGCTTTTATTTTTGGGACTCTATTTTTTTAACTTTCACTGGAGTCAGGTCTTCTGGTGAGGGACTCGAGTCGAGTCATTTATCCGTTGGGACTCAAAACGGGTCGAGTGGCCAAAAATTGCGACTCGGGTCAGCGTCTAGTCATTACAACTCTGCTAACGGGAAGCTCATTTAGTTTGGACAAAAGTGAAATCATCTGAGGAAAAGTTGCGCAGGGTGTAATTTTAAAACGTCGTGGTGTTACAAAACTGAAAACCGAAGTGGGTGTTTACAAAAATGGACGTCATGATAGCACGATATAAAACTCTTTTCCTAAATGACAGTTTCCTTAAGTGGGGCACATTTTTTTTCTCAGACAGATTCCCAAGAGCCCGATTTGAGTGTGTATGGGGGATATAGTCTAAAATAATTTTAGTGAACACTTTGTTTTCTTTCTGTGGACATTGCAGGGCTTAACACACTTAGGAAAGAAAGTTATAAAATGGAATAGTCTCCAGATGTGTGGTTTTAGTTTTCCTGAAAAGGTACTTCTCTGTACCCTTGAATTGCCGAATGAAATGGCCAAGACCTTCGCCCACAGTCAGAAAAGGTTAAGGAGGAATGTGAAGATCTTACGGAAAGGAAGCCCCGTCTGGATCACGGACATAAAAATTTTAAAATGACATCCGTGGTCTCAGCTAGAGGCCGTTTCGTTCATTTTTTATTTCCTTTTTGGGACGTATACTTTACATAAAATATACAATGGCTTTAAATGCAAAGAAAACACATTGACATTAGAACTGACAAAATCAACGGTAAGCTATCATTATTTAGCCAGTCCTGCAGGATTACCCCAAAGAAATATTTTTAAATGCAGGCGTTGTCGTCATGTCAGTCACCTTGCTTTGGCAAAGTTGCGGCGTGGCATTTATCTTTGAATACAAAACGACCCAACGAGAGTCTCGATTTAGGCGTAGGCCCTAAACTCAGAAAAATGAAAAGGAAACCTTATCTCTTTAGGTATATTTTCACGTCTTTCTCATTCAATGTTGTATCTTTTAAATTTGATTTCGCCTCACACGGCTTGTTTGATAAATGGCTGTGATAGCAAATATGATGCAAGATTGCTGAATGAAAATTGGTGTTATTTTTATCCATAATTGGGATTTAATTGCATTTTTTTTCAACAAAAAGTGTTAATGAATGGGAACAAAAGTGTAGTGGATTATGTAAAAGCTTGTGATTTGTAACTGGTGAGAGGCCGGGTTGCTGATGATGGCCCCTCGCCTGCGGCCTCGGTCTATTATCAGCAACTATATATGCCCCTCACCGGTCAGTGAGCACGCTCCACCACACTTCTATTTCCTTAGTAAAGCACGAACACACATACGTGTAGTCACTGACCAGTGCCTAATAGTCCTACGAAAAAATCAATTGTTATCTCATAATGCATCGAACTTTGACCAGTCTTGACAAAGCAATTACAGATAAACATCTATTTATAAAATGGATCACAAATGCCACCGGAAAGATAGTTTTCGCAGTTAGTTGAATATTCAGCCGTCGACTTTGGAAAGTTCAAAGATGACCCAATCTCAAGAGTAATGTAGAGTTTACTCTCCTGAGGATGAAGCACGCAGAAGGACCCCAAAAACCGTAAAAAAGTTGGAAGTTTTGAGTTGAAAATTTGTGTTGAGCATTTCCAGAAACTGACAAGGTTTTAGTCCTTTCATGCCGCGATTACCCCAAAATGACCTCACCGGCAATGGCACCTATCAATTACGACCACGATAGCTGGGGCTTAATCATGGTGGCAGCAGCACTTTTCATCTCCTTTTTGACCTTTGGCCGATTCAAAGCCCTGGGTGTCCTTCTATTGCCGATGACTGACGACTTTGTCAGTGACTTGTGGCTAATTGGCTGGATCGCAGTCTTGTACAGCACAGTTCAATGCTGTTTTGGTAAGAAAACGGTGCCATAATTGTACATTTTATATTTCCTTGTTTTATCTACCATTATTGTTACGCTCATCATACTTACTCTGTAATTTAAAAAATAATGCTTAAGCTGAGGTGGCGTGCTTTCCAGGCTAGACTGCTATGCTTTGTTAATCCATTTCGAAAGTGACTTCGTCACAAAGGCAGACGCGCCACGATTTGCAGGCTCCCATTGGGCGATCGCTGAAGTTGATCTTTAACTTCCGGTTCCATGTAAACGGTGCTAAATGCATGTAACTCTATGTGCAGTGCATATTCAGTGGGCGTCGTTTAAACTGAAGTGACGTCACACTTACGAACTGGATAATTGTAGTACAGAGAAATATGGAAAGGCTGCGCAGCACCGTGATCAGAATATTGACAAGAATATAAATAAAATCAGTGCTCTGGAATATGTGCTTGCCGAGCTTTTTCTTCAGGGTAAGCAGACTCAGTTCTGAATGAACGCAGAAAAATCCACGTTCATTTCCCCTGGATGCAGCGTTCCATGTTCGAAAATGACGCGCTGCTCCCTTCCTTACGCTGTACATCGGATGACGCTTTCCGCTGGATGCATACGCTTACGTCACCGAGAATATGTGGCGGCGCGCAAAAGTGCTGCGCAACAGTGAGATCAGGTGTTTGTCGGCGCACACGGCGCAAGTGAAGGGGCAGGTGTTACATCTGGGGCACTGACAAGGGGAATTGCTGCCTGCTTTTGACGGCGAGACAGAATCTAACCGGGAACGTACAACCACGTCCCCGACAGAACGATCGCGCCTAATAATTGTAATGACGGGTTTCCAGTCACATGGGAATTATGCCGACGCCTTGGAGGGTCTCTGGTGATACAAAGAGAGAGCTTTGATTTTATCTCTGTAGCTCTATCTCCTTCCTGTAGCCTTACAGTGACATGATGAGTACCTCAGCTGCGATGCGAAGAATGTTTATGCAGGCTCTTCTTCAAACTGATGGGCACCTTTGATTATTGCATCAACTGACGGGGAACCCTTGGTCAGCTTTTCCGTGGACTTTTCAGCTCCTGAACACTTTTCGTGGGTCTGAAAGTTCCGATATGCTTCTTCTTGAGCAATTTGATTTGCTTGTGCTTTGGGATAGACTCGAGGTGTTCAGATGAAGGGTT